CAAACAAACACTCAGAAAAACAAAGTCTAATAATGTGATGTTTAATCTCCAAGAGTCTAACCTCAAAAACGAGGTTTTTCGAACTATTTATAAAAAAAATAAAAACCTAATTAAACAAGGATTCTAATTACTGAAAATCTGTCAAAACGCGGCTGGGTCGACGGACCACGCGACGGAACGTCGTGGTCATGACGTTCCGTCGTGGGCTCCATCTCCCCATACTTGGTGCAATTCTTCTGCTGCTTTCTTCATTCCCCTCGACAGTAAGTGTGACGGACCGTCATAGGCACGACAGTCCGTCGAGGGTCTTCGTTACAAAATACTTCAACTCTTGGAATCTGGGTACTGGGATCACTTCTCTGATCTTCGCGACGAACCTGCAGGACGGACCGTCATATCCATGACGGACCGTCACAAGCTTCGTAATCCCACACTTGGTCAGACTTCCCCATCTTCCTTCAGCAGTTTCTCTACGCTGCCACCTACGGACCGTCACAAGCATGACGGACCGTCATAAGCTCCGTAGGTGGTCTCTTCTTCATTTTCTCGCTCAAAATCTCCGCATTCAGCTTTAGACAGATTTCCTGCAAAACAAAGAAAAACTTATATCAAAATTAGCACAAAAAGGCTTTCAGACACACTAAACTTAAGGAAAAAGTATTAACTATACCGTGAAACCACGGTATATCAAGGACTGGAATCAGGATTAAATTTCTGAATATGTTTTGAGTTGTATGCTTTATGTTCCATAAATTACCTAAAGGCCAGGGTGCTGACATGATTGCTTGAGGAAGAAAAATAGTTTGATTAACAGAATTAGTGATGATCTTATATTCAGAAAATATTTATGTGACAAAGGGATTAAGTTATGATTTGATATGGAGGTGGAATGACCAAATGATGGAGTTGGTAGCGAAAGGATGTAGGTGGACTTGTGATAGAGTGTATAGTTCCAAGGGAATACTAACGACTAATAATCAATTTGAAGTGATTTTCTTGTGCGAAAGTTAACAAGGTTAAATTTTAATTTATTCACCAAAAGAAATATCCCTTTTGAAGACAAAAATGATTTTCTTTCATACCTATATAATGCCTAAGTGGAGCGAAAAGGGGTTTTCATGAGATTGTAACAAACGAAAAATTTCTAAGTAAAGATCTGAACTATTTTTAATTCACATATAAGGTCATATGGGGTGATTCTTAAATTTTTCATATGTATAAAGGTCAATTCATTAGCGTGGAAATGAAATTATATATAAATTAAGGTCACTAAAATCATCTAGAACAAATTTGAGTTGAAAGATTCCATACTAATGAAGTTTTGATATAAGACTCTACTTGGGTAAACTTCAAAAGACCATATATCTTAGAATATAAAGAGTTACGTGGATCATAACTTATTGGGTTAAAGGTGTTTGCTGCTTTTTAATGCCACCTATTGTGCATCAATCTGAGTTCCCTATAAAAAGTTATGACCATTTTAGTAATTTGATACAGTACAATGATGAATTATCCAAAGGGAAAATATTATAAAAAAGTCATTTCTATAATTTTGCCTCTAAGAAGAACCTATACGAATTATGTGGCTAATTAAATTTCTTGACTAATAAAAGACCCTACATAATTATATTTTCATCTCTTAATCTCTCATTCTCTTCTCTCTCAAGCCCTAAGGCAAAACTCTAAGGAATAATCAAACTAGAAGACTTCCATTTAAGATTCTTTCAATCTTTTTCAAGATAAGTTATTGTCCAAGAATTTCATTCTTTTCAACTCAAATTCCTCCATATAATTATAAATCAATATTGAAAATCCTAAATCATGGCCATAGAGTTTATCATGACACTAATTCAAGAATTTCAAGAAAGTTTTTCTTGATTCTTCTCCTTCAATCTAGAGTTTCAAGGCTTCTTATAAGGTTTTTTTTAAAGATTCTTCAATAACCTTGTTCTTCCATGTATGTAAGGCTATCATAGTTTTGAACTAGTTCGTGTTCATGCCCTACGTCTTCTTTCAAATTAGTAAAAGAGTAATCTAGGGTCCTATCATTAGATTTGAGTATTCTTGAGATGACTGCTTTTAAGTTCTTGAGTTCCTGATTCCTTTTTCAATTTTATTCCGAATTATTGAATAGCTATATGCTATGCATTTGTGATTCTTGAGTTGATTCGTTCATGTATATATTTCAGCATTAACCCTATGAATTGAATATTCTTGAGATGATTACTGTCATTGAGTTCTGAGTATTGAGTTTTCTATATTGATATTGAGATCCTTGAGTTTATTCGTTCATGTCTATATTTGAACCCTATTTCTAGTTATAAAACTTGAGAATCTTTTAAAGCCAACACGGTGAACACATCGTAACACGTGTTTCGTGTCACATGTGTCAAGCGAACAATAAGTCAATGAAAGAATATTTTCTGTCTGTGAGACCCTAAAAGTCAAAATGATTTTTCAATGAAATACCCTTTGATTTTTGGTTGTTTCTTGAAGTTTCACTCGATGTTGCTACTTTAGCATGTTGCTAATAGCCATGAATGATTCGAAAATGCATTGCATGTAAAGAAAACAGTTGAATAGGAGCATATAGATTTGAGTAGAAAGAAAAGACAACTAAATGAATAATAAACTTATCTACACAAGTCGACTATTGCACTAACCATATTGGCAGTGAGTGTTATTGTGTGTATAAAGTTATAAACCTGAGTTAATATCATTGAGAGGATGAGAAGACAAATAAGTATCTACTGAAGTAGTGAATGAAGTGTGGTATATTGTGAGTAATAATATTCTTATATAAGTAATGAATTTCTTTCACATGTGATTGGATTCATATGTGGGGCTTGTAAAACCTTAAGGGTAAGCTCTTTATGCTCAAAGGTCGCACCAACTATTTATCGTATGAATTGTGTGTCTAGTTGATGTTGTTTTGACTTGGGTCTTGTCCACCATGTATTGAAGTGAGAGATGTAAGTTTTGGGTCATGAATCGCTCATGTGGATCAACCCGACCCGATCCAAAATTGTTATATGTAAAAAGGAGATAAATCTTATTTTAAAAACAGAGGTGGAAAAAGTTACTATATAACTGCTCCAACGTACACAAACCTTTATTTTTTAAATATAAAAACTTTACACATTTTAGATACAGAAGAAAGAAGACAGAGAAAAACTTAATACTCTAAACACAATATTTTTCTAAGAAAAAGACACATCATTTACCTTGTCTCCATAAGATCCAAGTTTGGTTTGGAGCAATTCTTCATAGAAAATGATTTCGTCGTTCTTCCACTGCAATATATAAGGTACACAATTCATCGATTTCTTTCCATAGATCCTAAAGATTGAAAAGTCATTTCAGTTTGACTTTATATTTCTTACTTAAGAACTACTTTTTTTTAAAACCAATCCAAACGGACAAGTCACCTGATTATATAAACTCAAGTTCGAGAAATTCATATTAAAACACAAAATTATTTGACTACTTAAATTATAAAAATATCATATAAAATAAAACAAATAAATTATTACCGGGTAACAAAAACTGTTATCCAACAGAGTTACCATTTTTCAGATAATTAAAGAGTTGAAAAAAATAAGAGTTTATGAGTTTCACGAAAAGAAAAAGAGTACTTGAATTTAAAACTAGTAGTGCACATAAAGGGCGTGTTTCTAGATGGGTATATATATATATATATATATATATATATTGAAGATAGTAGAATAAAAGCCATATATATATTGAAGATAAAATATTAAAATAATAATTCTCTTTTGTACGAAAAGTGAAATGTAAAGTAAAAGTAAATTTTTTAGTACAATAAATAAATAAAAGTACACAGAAAGGAAATTTTCTTTTTTTTTAGGAAAATAAGTTTCCTAATAGTTAATATTCGGTTAGTCCCTATAAAAGTGCATCAATTCTTATGCTCCTCTTCACAAAAACAAAAATACCTTTGTCATACTCATTTCTACTTTGACAGATTGAAAAGGAATCCAATTACTTTAGGAAAATGTCATCTCAAGTAACAGAAAATCAACGTGAAAATGCAGAGATTTTCACTGGCCCAACGATCTGCAAGCAGAAATCTCAACAACTTTTGGAGCAAATCAATATGCCAAAAGGGCTTCTTCCATTGGATGATCTAATAGAAATAGGACACAATAAGCAAACCGGATTTGTATGGCTGAAACAGAAGAAGGCAAAAGAAAATCGGTTTAAGAAAATCGGAAAACTTGTCTGGTATGACACCGAGGTCACCGGATTCCTTGAAGATCGCCGGATGAAGAAACTCACCGGCGTTAAAAGTAAGGAACTGTTGATCTGGGTAACAATTTCTGATATTTCTATTCAGGTCTCTGATTTAGAGAAAATTACATTTGCTACCCCTTCTGGAATTTCTAAAGCTTTTCCGGTGTCTGCGTTCGAGGAGTGAGGGGATGAGATTGGTTCTATCATTTTTAGTTTTTGGTTTAATAATATTGTTCTATTTTTAAAGTTGTGAAATAATAATAGAAAAGAAATGTGAAAATGAAATTAGTTATTTTTAGTATGAAGTCTATGTTGTATTGCCAAGTATAAATCAAAGGTCCATGTAGGTTTACCCAGACTGTTACAAGCCAATCTTTTCAATGGCACTTTATTGTATTCACCTCTCAATTCTTTATACATCCCTTTAATTCTATATTCTTCAGCCTCTATGATTTTATTTGTTTGCAGGTTCCTCTCTTCAAGTCATTGCCCTGCACCTCTAAATATGTCAAAAGTAATTGCTAAACAAAATATTTTTGAGAATTTTGGTATCATTGTAACCGCAAATTATGAGTTTTTCTTTTGGTAAATTTTAGGTCTAGCAAACATATATGAAAATCATATTTATATATTATAGTTATAATTTGCATAATTGTGCTCCATAATAAATATTATGTTTTCTATGACTATTAATATGTATATTTCGGTATACTTATACAAAAAAATCAATTGTATAAGTATATATTTTGAATTTGCATACAAATAAGAAAATAATTTTTTGTATAGTCGGTGTTTGTAGAAAACGAGAAGAGAGAAAGAGAAAAGAAAACTGGGCAAGGGAAGATTTGTATTGCATAATTACATGTGTATAGGATGAAAATATGTATTTATATTGGCTTAAGTCATCTGCATCCATTCAAAGTTGTCCGCATAAATCATTTAGACACCTCAACTAATTCTTGTGCCAATTGAACACTTTATTTGTTCAAAAGTCATTCCTATTAGACAAAAAATGTTGATATGGCAAAAAACGTGTAATTCACTTTCTTTAAGCGCGTTAATTTATTAAAAAAGATTTTCCTTTTTTTCTTAATTTATACCCCTAAATTAATTTTTAAAAAATTAATTAACAAAAAAAGAAGGACAGTCTTCTTCTTCTCTCTTTCTATCATATTATTCTTTCACCATTTTTATCTCTTTTCTTTACACATGCACGCACACCACACTCCCTCCACCTCTCTTTCTCTCACTCTCATTGTTCTTTTCTATTTTCCTCTTCTTTCTTATATTGATTTACGTCTCAAATATCTCGAAGAAGTTTCATTTACAATGATGAAAAAATTATGAATAGATTTTTTTGTGCAAAAGTCTGTTAATTTTTTTTTCAATTCTAATAAATAGTTTCTAATGTATAATAGATGAAGGCAAATGAGTAAAAATTTTAATGCTATCGAAATAAAAGAGAATGCATCTTTAGCTTGAATAGACAATAACAATGTGTCATTATAGTGTTGATACCAATGGAAGAGAAGAAAGAGATGGAGCGACGCCGGCTCCATGGAAAATAAGAAATGGGTATTTCTGAAGGAGGAGGAGGAAAGTGGGGAGGGGGAAGGCTTTGATCAAAAATAGATTTTTTTTTAATTTTTTAAAATACTTTATGAATTAATTAAATAGAGGTTTTATAAAAAATTAAATATAATGTCACGTGTCATCATATTATTGGTAAAACTTATGAGTTCGCGTTTGAGATACACAGTTTTATTTTTCAATTGATTGTTAGTTTGTGTCAAATAGGTATAAATTTTTTAATGTTTAAGTGTTCAATATGTACATTCCTTAGTTGAGGTGTTTAACTGAAATATGAGGACAACTTTATGTGGCTGTGGATGACTTAGGTCATTTATATTTGTATATACAATTCTTTCTTGCTTTATACAAATATAAACACAATTTGTACATTTGTGTTCGTATAAAGTGAGAGGGGCGAGAGATATATATGGGGAGAGAGACAAGCGAAAAGATATGTATTTGTATTTGTATATACACTTTTCTCTCACTTTATGCAATCATTTTTAGTCCAAGCATACAAAGAAAATAATCATTGCTCTCACCTAATTCTGAAAGCTACACATCCCATAAAATTTATCTTATTTTAATTATGACTCTAGCTCCTTTAAGTTCTATAAGAGCGGTGCCCCAATATCTTCTAAAACTTTCCATACAATCACATTACTTCACTAAATAGTAAAAATTCACAACCTTAGATGTTCACAAGTCTTTATTACCATAAAAATATCATTTAACCAACAAATCCTTATTATATAGTTTCATTTTCAATCACAACCCCTCACGAACTGTTTTCACCATCATGCTCAATTAGTCCTTGTTATCACCACGAAGTGAACTTTTTTTATAACCTGAGACCTTAAACTCTGGTATACCAATCAAATTTAAGGGACTAACCCAATTTTTATATGCACTTTCTTACTAAAATCTTCATTTTACTTCACCAAAAGTATAATCACTAGGATTTTTTCTCCCTAATAAGTTTGTCATGCTAGTATAAATCAACCCTTTAAAGCTTAAGATAAAATCACCAGTCTTCATTCAGAACCCTCAAGATACATTTCACAGCTTAAATGTCTTAATATTTATACCAAAGATCCACCACTAAAATTTTCTAAAATAAATAAATAATAAATAATTCTCAGTCCAAGCGCGCGTAGTAACAAATTAGTTGATTTTTCAAATGTAAAAGCAACATCAAATCTTATTATTTAAACATGACATACCACTAACAACTCTTTAAGCAGTTAGTATTCACACTTGAGAATTGATGTATTCATTTTCATATAACACTATTACCACACCTTAAATGTTCGTTATATGTCTCACTAAAACACGTCTTACCTACCAAAAAGATCGTACACCAATAGCCAACATATTTATATCCATTAAATAGATCTAAAATATTATTAAATTCATTCGTAGATCAGGTAGATGACAAAAATAACATGCATCATAACTTTAACCAAGTAAACATCGATATTATTAGTCGTATCATGACCCTTTTCTTTTATACACTTAATCTATAAAATCTTAATAGAGATTCTACCATCGATAGACTCAACAGAATTTCATTATTCACTAAGCAACATATATATTATGAGAACTTACTAACTTTATTTTACAAAGTAATGATATTCATTATTTAGTCATCCCTTATGAACTTTTTGAATGTATGCACCTTGGCAAAGTCATCTTGCTTCACCCCATCAACCTTATATCTCTTAACTTTCAGATAATACACTTCCCTATGAAGAAGCCATAAAAGGATACCCAATTCATAGGTAGTGTCATTAATGCCATGACTAAACATGAGATTGTCATCATATTTTTGCATATTCCTTAAATTAGTAAGTTAGAAACTCAACGTCCAATCACTTTATCATATCCATCTTATGAAACAACACTTGTGACAAACAATAAGGAAATCATAAGCATCTGCACATTCAGTACCCATAAAGAATAGGAGTTTCAACTTTAAGAACTTACTAAAAACACAGTACTAGTAACTAGTAATTACATGTCTGTAGTAAATCTTGGAATCATATCTATTTTTAAGGACGCATACATTCTTGCTGATGTTGGTGTTTCCAATTCTACTACTGTTGTACTAATCCTATGCGAAATAGAGTTAAGAAGGTCAGATATCAATTTGTATCACCTAGATACCAATTGGACTCAGGTAGTAGTAAGTAAGAAAGAAGGAATGAAGTTTTCCTAGAGTCGTATAGCTTCTCGAAGAAAAGTAAAGGTGTCCCTATACCATTCTTCAAGACTCTATTAGACTTGTCCTGTGTGATGAGATCACTGAACCCAACGCTCTGATACAAAGTTTGTCATGACCCAAAATGAGTCGTGAGTGGCACCCACACTTAACCTCCTAAGTGGGTGAACCAACCAATTTAACCTAACTTACAAAATACAAAGATAACGCGGAAACTCACAATCTTATTAAATATCATTTCCCAAAACCTGAAAGTCATCACATCAAGGACATTTAATCTCCACTACTAAGTCTAAAAATATCAAATACACCAAAATAGAAGAATAAAATGGTATGTGACCAAAAGTATAGAACATCATGTCATGACCGAGAGAATCCAACACGAGATTGAATGAATAGCTCACCCTCGAATCTGATATGCGGGAGACTGGCTAGACATGAAGGAAATTTGAAGTCATTGGTACACTTGTTGCATTTCATAAAAGGAAACAAAGAGAAACACAAGTAGGGCTCAGTACGGGACAACATGTATTGAGTAGGTATCATCGGCCAACCCAAAATAGAAACTAATATACAATGAATAATAGTATGAACTTAACTATAGCATTTAACAGGTGATAAGAAACAAACAACATGAACAAGTGTCAACAATATCAAGATCATCCATGAGGACTCATGCCTCCAACTAAACCTTTTGGGGAAATTGAGTTCTTTGAGGTTGAGTAATTCCGTTAATGCAATATGTTTTTCCTTTAATAGTATCGTGTCGGAATGTGACACTCCGATCCAATTATACCGTGTTGGAACGTGACACTCCTATCTAACTATACCATGTCGAAACGTGACACTCCGATCGAAAAATACTGTCGCAACGTGACACTCTGATCCAATTATACTTTGTCGGAACGTGACATTCCGATCCAATAATACCATTAATTTATCATTTATTATCACCACTTTTAATTCATTGATAATATTTCATCAAGCCTTATTTATTCAAGGCATCATTTCGATAAGAGGTTCAAGATTATAAATTTCACGGTCTCAAGATTTCAGACCAATCACAAACCACACAACCAAATCACACAATCCCACAATCACATAGTCAAGTACATAGAGAACTTCACAATATCATTCAATACATATCAATCACTAATAAGAGTTTACTATCAAATAGCTTAAACCATAACCTACCTCCACCGAAGAATCGAAGTCAACCAACTACTTCTCCAATACTTTTCCATTCCTCAATGCTTCTGAACCTTTCCAATCTATCAAGTGTATATGCATAATTTGTAAGTTAACAATCCTATAAACACTCATATTGTCATATGTCTAGCCTTAGACCCAAAACTCACCTAATTCTATAATTAATTTTCTAAATTTCAAACCTAAGGATACGTATTAATTCCTCCCATATTAATAACTTTAATGATATATTAAATTAATATAAAGCACCTTAAATTTAATTACCTATCTCAGTATATCGAAATATAAGTTATAATACGAGACCACAATATTGATATTAAACATTTGAAACCAGTAATTACTAAACCAGTGGCAGACAACCCTACACCATACTCCAATTTGAACTTTACATACTAAATATATTTGCCATTAATTATACCAATATGCAAACCTA